ATCGGCAGGCAGTTGAGCAGGTGACCCCTGGGCTCCCTGCCGGGCCCAGTAGCCTAGCATGAATCTTTATTGAAAAAAGAAAACTTTTTTTATTATGTCTAGTGGAAGGAAATGACTGAGGAAAAAATATTTGTGCTGTAGTCCATGACATCTTTCCTTGTCCATTCCCTCCCCCCCCCCCCCCCCCCCCCCCCCCCCCCCCCCCCCCCCCTGTCTTAAGTCATGCCAAATCTGGAGCGATGGTTATGTCGCAAGCCGTGGACTGTGGGATTGACACACCCGCACACACACCGTTGTTTGTTTTTTAACTTTTTTTATTCATACATGGCTCAATTCTTTGCCCTGCTTAGTCCCTCGGGACATCCGTTAAAATTGGAACGATACAGAAAGAGAATATTAGGATGGCCCCTGTGCAAGGATGACAAGCACAAATTGAGAAATGGTCCAATTTTTTTTGGTGTTTCAAAAACATAAAAAATAAAAACTTATTTACCCTGCTTTAGAGCATGGGCTGTCTTTTGATGAAGGCATATCTGTGGGTGGCCACAGAGTTTTTTTGGGCGGGAACGTTTGTTTGGAGTTATGCCCATGGCATCTTTACGAGGGGGCTCAGAAGAGTGTCTGCTGTGGGTGTCACTCCCACCGGCTGCTCTTTCGGAGCATATGGAAGAAGGGGGTGCCTTTTTTTTCGAGGGTGTATTAAGCATCAGCGCTCCTGGTGTCGCATGGAGATTCTGTGGAGTTCATATGTGGTTTTGCGGGCTGACTCGGAGGGGTGTCCTAATCCATTTGGAGTCTTTTGGACCAATTGGGGCTTGGTCGGGGCTTTCTTGCTGGTAGAGCCTTATGTGTTGTGGTGCACTGTTAAGCATGTTGCCTTTTGCCCTCCATCGATGTACGCACGAATGTTTGGATCTGTGCCTGGTATGTGATTCTGTGGAGCAGGCTGGGGTTGTTCATGTCGGCTAGCCTTGTCCGACTTAACTTCGAAATGTGCTTTTATGACCTGTTGAATGGACAGGCAGAGTACTTTGAGCGAAACGGTGGGAAAGTGGCCCTTGTGGGACATCCGATTGTCGACACGGTGGACACCAAGTTGTCTCGATCTGAGGTATGGTTTGCAATGCCACAATTGAGCTTATTTAAGAGGCTGCACCCCCACCCACCCACCCACCCACCCACCCACCCCTCCGCCTTCCTCATTCTGATGTAACAGGCATGTACGTCATGTTTGCTTGATGCACAAAGATCTG